ATACCTGCATTTTCTCTTGAAATGAATTTCCAAAGGCCGACCGATGAAATCGGTCGGCACACTACACACTTCTAGTTATGTAAATAAAAATGTTATAAGCATTTGTGTCAAAACTTTTTGAACGCCCCACGTATGCAGTACTCGATTCCAATAATAAATTACTCGAACTCAATAAAAAGTTGCGGATTTGCCGAATGCAGTCACACAGTGGCTATAAAAACGAATCTGATAACTTAAATAAAAAGATTACCAATATCGATATAGGGAAAGCAAAGATAGATTAGTTGGAATTTGCTGAAAGCAGTCACTTCGTGGCTAAAATCCTTTCTGATTCACGTTCAGCTTCTTCTGTTTCTTTACGATTACGTTCGATTAAAGTATATAGGTCATCTTTCTCTCCCACTTTTTTTGTTATAATTTCAGCAGTATTAACTTTACTATCCACTGTGTGACTCCCCCCGGCGATAATATTAGATGGGTCAGAAATTCGATTAGTCTTAGATCTCAGTTTTTTTCTCTTTATTTGTATATCCGAAGTAACGATAGGAGTTTCTATGCCTATTCTGGAAGAATGAACTCCGTTCTGGCATGAGCTCTGCTCTACAGAATGTGTAATGTGATTTATGGATCGAGTTCTCATGCTCATATCAGTTTTATTAACCGTATTGTCTCCGCCAATATTTGATTGCGACATCACTTCCCTAGGATCTATTGGAGGATGGGTTTCTCTCCATATTTGATATACGCGCCTTGTTGATATTTTATATTTGATAGCCATAGCTTCTGATGCGCGTTTCATAGAATTTCTGGCATTAATGATATCCTGTATATTATTATCTGATAAAGGAGTTGCATCAGATCGCAGATATCGAATTATTTTTTCAGAGTTTTGAGTCATGATTTATTTATAAAAATAAAAAAAATATTTAGATATAAATTCGAAAGTTTTTCAATCTAGTTTCGATACATATCTAGACTGTTCGGTAAATATCCAATTTTGTTTCGATATATCTAGCTCATTCGGTTAACATCTAATCCTATTTCGGTAAATATTCGATTTAGATATATCAGTTAATATCTAATCTTTATTCGGTTAACATCTAATTCTATTTCGGTAAATATTCGATTGATAAATATCGATTAATATCTAACCTTTGTTCGATTTATTCTTTTTTATTAGTATTTGATTAATATCTTCAGTCAACATTCGATTAGTATGACACAAGCAATGCAATAAAAACTTACCATTTTTTTATTATATTATCTATTATTTGATATGACATATGTGAAAGACCTTGAGGAAGAATTATATCGTATCCTCCAATCTTCCTCTAAATTACGTAACTATAACAGTGAGTTGCGGGATAAATATATAAAGCAGGAGGAGAATTTTGATCGAGAAAGAAAGGGATGGGATCGGGAGAGAAATAAGTGGGGTCAGAAATTAGGAGGGGCTAATACCGAGATCCAGAAATTACGCACTCATGATCTAGAACTTATTAATGAGGCTAAACGTTTACAGATTGAAAATGCTCGCAAAGATATCTCTCTTGCGGAATCCAAGGCTAAGTATGCTACAAAATTAGAGGAGATTAAATCGCTTCGGAATGAAATGAAATTATTGAAGGGTAAGTTAGATTTATCTCAGAAGGACTCATCAAAGAAAGGGTCCGAAATCGTGTCTCTCAAGTCTAAGATAGTTGAATTAGCTTTAAAAATTAGTGAATTGGAGCGTCTGAAATCTGAGGATATATCGGGATCTATAGGCTCTGTGAGACATTGCTCTGCAATAATTGGTGGAGATGATGAAAAAAATACGCAGAGCTAATGAGTATCGCGAGGAACTTTTATTCACAACAAGGTGCTCGCTAAAGCCCAGTTTAAGCTGTTTTTATCTTTTAC